AAAAAAAAAAAAAAAAAAAGATAGGCACATACTCGGTCTCCACCTTATTTTGTTGCCAGTCCATAGACCCAGTCTTGATGCTTATGTAGTGGTTCTCATTTATGGATACACATCTGTGTACAATCAGCATTTTGGCACTTAGATGACCAGGAAAAACTAGATCACCCTTAAGCTACAATGCACAGATAGATGCAAGAATTAAAAACAGAAGAGCCAGCACCGAAGAAAGGAATCACCAAACTAGGACAGGAGGAAATGCTGAAAAGAAAGATGAATCTTAAGCCCCACTCTCCTTTCCCACAGTCACAGGCCTACATTAAACTTCTTACATAAAACTTACTGCTTCTATCCTTTTGTCCAACAGTAGTTACAGCACTAAGGTTATGGAAGACCTCTGTTCAACTCCTAACGTTGCCTGAAGCAAATTAAACCATTGTGCCCCATTTGGACAATCAGCAGGGACCTATCAAATTCATGGCAGAAGTGGGGTGCGTTGTAGCTTCTTTAATCTTGCAGGTTCCCCCGTTGAGGCTCACTCCTGGTCAGCGGGGAAGTGAAAATTGCGGTTTTAAACATGGCATTGTTTTTGCCTCCCACTGCTGATTGGCTGAGGGCCCCAGACAGCCCTGCTGTTTGCTGCGGAGTGGCACAAAGGTAAAAACGGTGCCATGTCTAAAACTGAAGTTTTAGCTTCCCTGATGATCGGGGGGAGTGGTGGGGTCCTCTGCTAATCAAGCGCAGGGGAAAGGAGGATGGCAAGGAACAGGGGGTGAGGTGAGGACAAAACATGCAAGATTAAAAAGGAGCTGCTGTGCAATCTACTTCTACATGAATTCAGTAGGTTTGTACCAATCAGCAAACTATAATGTAGAAGAGTGGTGCTCAACCTTTTTCTCTGCAAAGTCAGATGAGCAATATGTGGTCCTTCTGCAGGCTGGAACCAGCCAGTGGACCCAATCTAGCACCTCAAGTGTGTGGCAGGGCCTCATTTGGCTGTACGGAGGGGGTAGGGGCAGCCCAGTCCCACAACAGCCACATGGGAAGAGGGGACTTGGCCTGGCTCCAACCCAGCATGGCAGGGGAGGGGATATGACCCCAATCCAGCCCCATGAGGGAAGGGGGCATGGCCTAACCATCGCCAAAATTCCCAAGCCATAGGGAACCCTGTGGTCCAGATCCCAAGGGTCTGTGTGCCACATTTGGCCCACAGGCCAGAGGTTGAGTACATCTTGTGCAGAACGATAGAAAAGTAGACCAAGAAGGGACCTTAGTCCAACTCCCTACTCAAGGCATTATCTGCATCTAAACCACCCTACACAAGTATTAGTCTAACCTGTTCTTAACACTTTGTGAAAAATCTTCACACACAACTACCAGGCAAAAGGGCATTACTTCAAAAACAGGCTGCCAAAAGGTAAAGCAAGGTAACAAGGGCACTGTCAATTTCCTAACACTACAAGGAAAGGAAGCTTGTTGTATATGCTCAAGAGATCCAAGGAAGAGGACCATATCTCCACCACAGCAGAATATAAACCTCCTGCCCCACACACACACAAAGGCCATGTATTTGTTATATAAAATTCTTTCCTGATCCCAAGTGTGACAGCTGGTTTGATTTAGCAGAGAAGCAAGACCCCTTAGCTAGAAATCATCAGGAGCATCAAACACATTTCAGCCAAAATCTCCAGGCTTGGCTGTAGCCACTCAATGCTTCTGAAGAAGGAAGGAAAAACAAAAAACAAAAAAAAAGAAATGAAACAAAACCCTGACATCCTTAGCTATAACAGAAAAATTCTTTCTTGGCAACCAGCAAAGCTCAGAAGCATGAGGAAAAAAAAACCCCAAAAACAAACACGCTCTGACCTGCTCTGCAACTTAGTGACAGCAAACAAGTCCATGCATCATGTACCAAGACAAGAGAGCCAGATTTGTCCTATCCATCATCTTATCCATTCCCATTCTCCTCTGCTGAGAATCTCCAATTTCC